TTACGTATTGGTGTAGTTCGCCCTCTAGTGGCACACAGTCAACTAACCACAACCCAACCCGGAGTAAAATCAACAGGTAAACTGACCACGGGATCCTGGCAGTCTCCCTCGCTAACACCGTGTCGTGTTCCAGTGAATTTCTCCTAAAACTTTGGTCTATTAATCTGTTTGGGGATTATTGGAAGCTGCGTCTCCCAGAATGAACGTCGTGGGCGAGCGTAATGACTGTGCCGGTGTAATCAAGGGTGATAATGACAGCGGTATTTCTTGATTGCGTTTGCTGAGGTAAACACAGATTGTCTCGTAATGGTTTTCATTTCATTTTAATTTTTATTGTGTTTGTGTTTATTTTTTCGAATGTTTTAAAATCTTGTTCTTTGTACCTATAGTGTTTTGAATAATTTTTTACTTATTTTTCATATTAATTAGTACGGATATTGGTATTCCGATGTGTTAGTCTGTTTATTTGTCCGTCACCGTAGGGGGTACAGAAGGCTTTACACACACACACACACACACACACACACACACACACACACACACACACACAACACACACACACACACACACACAACACACACACACACACACAACACACACACACACACACACACACACACACAGACACACACACACACACACACACACACACACACACACACACACACACACACACACACACACACACACACACACACACACACTTATTATATCCTTAGCTGATTAACGTAACACTCTTAGTAAACAATTTATAATATATACAGTAATATAATAATTGGATAATTTTTTGTTCTGTCAACTTTATCAATATTTATTTCCCAGGTGATGAAGCGAGGCGACTCACTCGATCACTGTTCCTTATGAATATTGTATTGAAATAACAGTTAAACCTAGGAAAAAAATGGATATCTCAATGAACAAAAATTTTCCTTTCGTCTACAGTTTTTTATTAGTTTCATGATTTTTCGCAAGTTTCAGATTAATTAAATTTCTTCATTTATATCTGCCTTGTTGATGGTTGTCAAAAGTAACCCGAAATTGGTCACCCTGGTTGATGGAGACAGACAGACAGACAGACAGACAGACGTAACAAGAAATCCGAATTATAATTTTCATTTTACTTGATAATTTAATCTTACTGATTTTTTTTAATTGTCATCCTGCTGAAGAAAGCACAATTCATTTATTTTTATTTTATTTTTTTAAAGGTTACGTATATTTTTAATTGTATTTAACCAACATCCGTCTGTTTGTAATCCATAAACTGTCCACACATTGATGAGTCATGCTTCTAGTTCTCTTGTACGTGACGTCATCGACCAGCGGACGTTTGTTTGTTTACTTCGGTGAACAGCAGAGAAGCACATGACGTCATCGATCAGCTGACTTTTGTTTATATACCTCGGTGAGTGTCAAGACCACGTGACGTCACGCTCGAGTAGGTAGCAGTCATGCGGAAATTAAATTGGACAGAAGTTGGTGTGTCGTGAGGTGTGTAGACTGATTTAAAGGGTCGTGTGAGGGTACAAGCTGTCATGAAATTGCTTTAGAAACCTTTGTGTGTGTGTGTGTGTATAATAATAATAATAATAATAATAATAATAATAATAATAATAATAATAATAATAATAATTAACGGTTTATTGAAAAAGTTTTGCAGCCCGAAGGCTGAAAATATACATTGGACGTAAATGACTTATTACATACATTGGTGATTTAACAAAAGAAAGGTAAAGGAACAGACAGTGAACATACAGATAAATGTAGGTGTTGAACAGCAAACACGTAGTGTAGTAACTCCCTCACAGATGGTGTTATATGAGTGGGTGTGGTCCCCAGCCTTCCTATCGTAGACGGATTAACACATCGCTGGCCGTTGTTGGTTCTCACTGGCAGTTATCACTGGGTACCTGGGACCTCACTGTGTGAAGGTTAACTTGGGTACGACTCGGCTGTTACTGTTGAGTTGTTCTAACTGACTTAAGCACTGTTCACCACTGTTCACCTGTGTTCAACACTGGTTCCATTCCTTTCCTAAATGAAATTGTAACTTCTGGCGAGAACTTGTTTATATTCCGGTGGGGAGGAGGGTTCAGGGAGGGGGGTTGGTATGGGCCAACACAACAGTTGACCTGGCTGTTCCCAGAGGAGCTCCAGGTACGTCTTGACCCTTCGGTGGTCAAGACTCCTGCCCCCGTTGTATTTTATCATCATGTATCCCTCAACAGTTCAACACACTCGGCTTCAAAATACCTTCATTGTCAGACACGGGAGCAACACCTCGGGGACCAGATAAAATAACACTCGCCTGGGTTCTCTCAGTGTCGTGTAATACTTAAATAAAAGACACATTCAGACAGCTACAACCATTATGTGTCTCTTCATGTTGAAATATATCTCTCCCCTTCTCTCTCTCTCGCTCGGTTCTCTTGGTTGAGTCATCAGGGAGAGTGCACAGTCAACCTCACGGAAATGGTTGAATTCTTGTTTGCTTTTATTTTTTTTTTATTCCTGGGAAAATGTCCGAATGTGAGTGTGAATGTTGATGGAATTGAGTGGGAATTTATTTACTGGATGTGAACTTTATACAATACCAAGTTGTTCTAAATACCTCAGGATCTCGTGAAGATTATAGGTATCCCTCTAAAGCTTAGTTCAAACCTTAATGCTATTTGGGTTCGGTTATGTGATGTTAATTTTTTATTGTTATGTTATGTTATGTTATGTTTGAAATAAGGTTAGATTGAGTTAGGTCATCTCAGGTTATGATATGTTGTTAGGTTACGTTAGATTAACCTTAGGGTGGTTAACCTTAGGGTGGTTAACCTTAGGGTGGTTAACCTAAGGGTGGTTAATCTTAGGGTGAAATAAACCTAGGAACTAATCTTCTTGTGATCCGAACTTAATTGATAAAAAAGAATAAAAAACACGAAATAAAGTGACATATATGTATGTCACCTGTCTGTGATAAGTGACGTCATACTCACCTGATTGACAACTTCAGGTAAATCAGGTGAATATTTCAGACTTCCAGAGTTTAATTAAAAAAAATAATGATTAGTGTAGTTTACTGAATTGATATTGAAGAAACCATTCATGTTATTCACCTTTTCAAGCATTACACGACTTTGCAATCTTGCTATTCATTCACGTCATACAAATATTTGCAGCAAGTCATTCATGCAATTCGGCATTTTGGAAATTTTGCAACCAATTTTTTAATCACACTAATTTACAGTTTAACAACCAATCAATGCAACACTACGATTTGCAACTTAACAACATAATTCTTGCATTACGGCAATTTGCAATTTAGCAACACCCCCCTCCATGCATTCCACCAATTTGCAATTCAGTAACCTATTCATTAGTGAGACCAATTAATTATCTATATCCACTACTTAATCTGGCCACGCGAACTAGTATTACTCCCCCTTCTCTTCCCCCTCCCCCTCCCCTTTTACCCTTCCTCTTTCCCCTGTTCCCCTTCCTCCTTCCCCTCAGTCTCCTCCTCCTCTTCCCTCCTCCCCACCTTCCTCCCTCCTCCCTCTCCATCTTCTCCTCCTTCCCAGTTCCTTATCCATCCATACCTTCTTCCTTTCTTCGTCCTCTTCCTTCCCCTTCCCATTCCCTCCTTCCTCTCTCTCTCTCTCTGTTATCACAGGTTGTCTGTGCCGGCTCCTGCCACTACCTTCATGCATTAGCTGTATTTTTAACATATGAAATGAGATTCATCTGAAGACCACACTGATGAATAGAACCCCGGGAACCAGCCACACACGCACACACACACACACACACACACACACACACACACACACCACACACACACACACAGACACACACACACACACACACACACACACACACACACACACAACCCACACAAAAAAACACAACAACAAAACAACACAAAACCCCCAAAAACAAAATATACACACACACACACACACACACACACACACACACACACACACACACCACACACACACACACACACACACACACACACACCACACACACACACACACACACACACGCACACACACACACACACACACACACACACACACACACACATACACACACACACACACACACACACACACACGCACACAGACACACACACACACAGAAGCACAAATAAAAGAGAATGAAAGGTAAACAAAGTGGGAAAAATATAAGTCAATACAAGAGAAAACAATTAAACTGTCAGGTATTATTGACAATTATACAAAGGGACACACCACACACACACACACACACACACACACACACACACACACACACACACACACACACACACACACACACACACACACACACACACACACACACCTGAGTCAACACACCAGGATGAACAACACTTGTGGTGCGCTTTCCTCTGTGTTCCTTGATGATGGTATTCAACACAGAGACGTGAATAAAAGATGGATACATACATGGACAAATTGAAAACAAAATGATGTATACATAAACAAATAAGCAAGCATGTATGATAGAAGATATACATAATTAAGTGAATGTAGATGAAATACTCGTATACATAGATAATGCAATTGTATATATATATATAAAATAAGATAAAATTATATTGCAAAGTTTGTGTGATCAAAAATTGTTTATAAGCTGCGTTAGTGTAAAGCCGAATACAAAAGTTCTCTCGGGAGTCAGTCAGTTAGGTACTCTTCAGACAGTCAAATAGTTAGTCAATCAGTCATTCAGTCAGTCAATTAGTCAGTCAGTCAGTCAGTCAGTCAGTCAGTCAGTCAGTCAATTAGTTATTCGCTCAGTCAGTCAGTCAGTCAGTTAGGTACTCTTCAGACAGTCAAATAGTTAGTCAATCAGTCAGTCAGTCAGTCAGTCAGTCAGTCAGTCAGTCAGTCAGTCAGTCAGTCAGTCAGTCATCATTAAACATCCTAAAACTCTCTGACTCACCTAAAATACTTTAATTAGGACCTGTAAGTAACTCCTGTGTATTTTTTTCTTTCCAGGTAACTGCCGACACCTGGCAGGTAAACTAACACCAACCTACCCTAGTGACGTCATCCTCCACCTCCTGACCAATGGGTAGTTTACACACAACAGGTAACTTTGTGTTGACATAGAAACACCTGTAATTTGTATTTTTATGACACTCTGGTGGGGTCGTGTGAGTAAGGGAATTTTAAGTGTCGATTCTAAAGATATCAAAGGTACGCAATTTTAAGGTTTATGTATTTATTTTTTGGTCTCTACTTAAAATAGTAACGAGGAATTTTAAGACTTTTCCTGATAACTAAATTTGAAGGATCTTAAAACATATCAGGATATTTATTTTACTATAACTTTTTACTTAAAGATATCAAACTAACCTGACCTAACCTAACCTATATATAATGAAGAAACGTAAAAAAAAAGGCACATCTTAATTAATTCTCGTAAAATTGACGTGTTTACCGTACCTTAATAATGGCCCATATTAAATTTCGGGGAAATTTTGTGTATAATTTTACCGAGACTGTTGTAAATTAGCTTGTAAATGATTTTGAGATGTAAACACGTAAATAATTATAATTTTATTCAGTTATTTTTATTTTGAGAAGATGGTGAGTAGGACGAAGGAAGGGGGAAGAGGAGTAGTGTGTGATAAGAGTAGGGAAGGAGGAAGGGGAAGAGGAGTATGTGTAATAGAAGTAGGAAGGAGGAAGGGGGAAGAGGATAGTGTAATAGAAGTAGGGAAGGAGGGAAGGGGGAAGAGGAGTTATGTGTAATAGAAGTAGGGAAGGAGGGGTTTGATAAACAATGTGTAATAAGAAGAGAGAAGGAGGAAAGGTGTGATAAATAGTGTGTGATAAAAGGAATGAAGGAGGGAGGGTGTGATAAATAATGTGTGATGAAAGGAAGATGAGAAGAAGACAGTGAAAAATAAATTGTGATGAAAAAGGGAAGAGAAGGAGAAATGATTAGTGCAGGAATAAAGTGAAGAAATTAAGGAAGAATAAAGAAACAACAAATAAGAAAGAATGAAAGAATAAGAAAGAATAAGAAGGATGATAAAAATACTAAGAAACAAAAAAGGGAAGAAATAAATAAAAGCAAAGAAAAGACGAATAAGGATAATATGGACAAGAAAGACGATAACAGACAATAAAGAAAGACAAAACAAGTAGAAATCACTAAATAAAAAAAAACTCGACTTATTAAACGTGGAAAAAAAAAATGCTCTATGTGAGGAGAGGGAAAGCGGACGAGAGGGCCAGCGTAGTGTCATTGTGTAAAGGCAAACTGCAGTAAGTGACCCTCTGGTGGGTGCTGAGAAGAGTGGGGGAGAGAGAGAGAGAGGGGGGGGGAGAGGTGGAGGAGGGGAAGGGAGGTGGGAGGAGGGGAGGAGGGAGGAGGAGGGAGGGGAGGAGTAATAGTGAGAGGGGTTAGGTGAGAGGGAAGTGCTGGGAGAGGAAGAGGTCAAGTAGTGTATGTGGGGTCAAATTTGCTTTTAAAAACACACACAGTCACAGTGCTGGAGGTGGAACATCTGTAATGAACGGTACAGTACCGTATATAAGGCTACTGTACCCCATAGAGGCAGTCTCTGTACCGTAGTTTGTCACTGTTCCATAGTCACCGTACCGCAGTTTATATCACTGCACCATAGAGTCACTGCACCGTAGTTTATGTCGCCGCACCATACTCACTTTACCATAGAATCGATGTACCATAGTAATTGCACCATAGAATCACTGTACCATAGAGTCGCTGCATCATAGTCACTGTACCATAGAGTCGCTGTACTATAGAGTCACTGTACCATAGAATCACTGTGCCATAGAGTCGCTGTACCTTAGAGTCACTGTACTATAGAGTCACTGTACCATAGAGTTGCTGCACCATAGTCACTGTACCATAGAGTTGCTGCACCATAGTCACTGTACCATAGTCACTGTACCATAGAGTCACTGTACCTTAGAGTCAATGTACTATAGAGTCACTGTACTAGTCATTGTACCTTTGAGTCACTGTATTATTGTCACTGTACCATAGAGTCACTGTACCGTAGTTTATGTCACTCTACCATATATGGAGGACGCGAAACAGAAGACTTCCATTACAGAGCCGGGGAAGGTGTCAAGTGAGGGAATTTAACCCATTTGGAAGAGGGGGAGAAAGTCGATTTTCACACATCAATTCTGTGGCCTCAGGTCCTTCTTCCTCTTGTGTGGTTCTTCCTATTGACTCGTGCAGTGAGGGAGGAGGAGGAGGAGGAGGAGGAGGAGGAGGAGGAGGAAGATGAAGGAGGAGGAGGGGATAGGGGAAAGGAGGAGGAGGAGAAAGAAGAGAAAGGGGTAGGGTAGAAGAGGGAGAGGAAGGGGGTAGAGGAAGAAGAAGGGGGAGGTAGGGAAGAGGAGATAAGGGAGCAAAGAAGGAAGAGGAAGGAGAAATATCTAGACGGAGAGAAAGAGGAAGAGGCATACAGAAGGAGAGATAGAGAGACAGACCGATATACACACTTACAGAAGAAGGAAGAGAAAGACTGACAAACACACAAACATGCACAAGCACACAAACACACACACAAACACACACACACAGACTGACAAACAGACATACAACCTTGCAAATGTGTAATTTTAAAATAGCAAGTCACATTCCATTTCTCACAGGACATTTTCTTTGACAGTGAAAACTCAGATTCAATTTACTTCACCGCCGCTTTGAGTATCTCCCCATTTGTCTGTTTGTGTATGTGTGTTTATGTATATTTGTGAATGTCTGTCTGTTTGTGTATGTGTATGTGTGTGTGTGTGTGTGTGTGTGTGTGTGTGTGTGTGTGTGTGTGTTTATATATGTGTGTAAGTGTTTATAATTATGAAAAAATCCACTAAAATGTAGACCCCCAAAAATATACATAAATGAAGAAAGAAAAACACAACTATACAATAAAATTAGTCAAGTGAAGTCCATAAAAATCTGTGTGTTAATCTCCCTAGTAACTCTATCTCTCTGTTAATGGCTCGTTAAGGGTGGTAATTAGAGACTACGATAATTAAGAGTATAATTACACATGCTGGATTATTATAACTGTGTGTGGCTGTTGGCTGAAAGAAGTCTGAAGTCTTTGAAGATCTGAGTGACTATATGTTTCTGAAATTACTTGTTAGTTATTCGACTTGGTTTGACCTGATTTGGTATGGTTTTGACCTGGCTTGATGTGGTTTTGAACTGGTTTGATATGGTTTCGACCTGGTTTGACATGATTTGAATTGAGTTAGTTGGCAAGATGATACGAGTGGGATCTCTCTCTCTCTCTCTCTCTCTCTCTCTCTCTCTCTCTCTCTCTCTCTCTCTCTCTCTCTCTCTCTCTCTCTCTCTCACGTAGACAACAGCTAGCTTCAGTATCACGGCAGATGAACTTAAGACGAAGATAATCACCAGCCTTCAGAAATTTGCTTCGTTATCCAATCACCAAAAAACTTTCGATGGGAAAGTTTGAAGTAAAAAAAAATTATAGATTGAAAAAGTTTTTAAAAGAAGTGTGAGGGGGAGAGTTTTTCCTCGCCATTATAAAGTTTAGGTGAAAAAAATCTCATATGAGGTCTATCACACTTTCTTGTTATTCTTAAGCTTTGTGACATAAATCAGTATTAAGTTAGGTTTATATATTATGGTATGTGTGTGTGTAACAAAAGTACAGAGTCACCAATAAAAATCGTGTCGCCTCTCCTCCTGAACCTCGAACCCAGAGATTCAGACTCGTGAATCCGAAGCATTTATGGATAGAATAAGGTATCAGTGTTTACTGCTTCGGGTTCGTGGGTCTGAATCTTGGAGTTCGTGGTTCAGGAGGAGAATCGACAGGACTTTTGTGCATGACTGTACCAATTATGGAGTGTATCTGCAGAAGCATCTATACGGTGCCTCTCCAAAATCACTACTGATGCCTCAATTGTTGATATCAAGCCTACATAAACAAGTGAAGACATTGATTGTTTGTTTTCAGTACAAACATTCACACGATCTCCACGAGAACCTGTAAAGCAGTATATGTACATTTTTTTCTGATGCAGCCTGTATTTGCCTCACAGTGGCTTCTTTACATTATTAAAGTTTCGAAGCTTTGGTGCCCCAGTCTTGTAAAGTGAGATAGTCTTCAGGTTTCGAAGCCTTGAAATTTTAACTTCCTCGGAACATAGTGAGTCCAGGGGGATGGGAGAAGTTCGTGGCAGTGAGAGTCCATGGCCATAGGAGTCCATGGTCATAAAAGTCCAAGACCATAAGAGTCTACAGCATAGCCAAAGAGTCCAAGACCATAAGAGTTCTTGATCAAATGAGTCTATGACCATAGGGGTTCATGGCCACAAGACTTTATTACCGCAAGAGTCCAAGACCATAAAGAGTCCATGGCCATAACGGGTCCATGGCTGTAAGAGACCATGGCCATGCTGGATTGGAAAAACCTCATCTCGCTCTGCTTGGGTCTATTTTACCTGATTGCCAATTATCGCGGACGTGGGATCAGTCTCAGGTAACGAATGATTTTTCCTGTCCCGTCTCCGAATGTGAAGGAAGAGGGAAGGAGAGAGGCCGAGGATGGAAGAGAAAGACGAAGCTTGTGGGATGGGAAAGAAAGACGAAGATAATGAAATGGGAAAGAAAGACGAAGATAATGAAATGGGAAAGAAAGGCGAAGGTAATGGGATGGAAGAGAGACGAAGATAATAGGATGGAAAAGAGTAAGAGGAACAAAATAAGTAAAACTGTGAATAGGAAATTGGTGAATAACTAAAGGAAGAAATGGACAGGTGAGATTAAATACGAAGCAAGATAAGAGATAGAAATGAAGATAAAGTAAAACGAGTTAATTATAGGCAATGAATAACAAATTATAAAAAGTTGAACACACACACACACACACACACACACACACACACACACACACACACACACACACACACCTTTGAACCACTGATATTACCTTTCAGTTTTGTCTCGTTGGTAGTAGCACCGGCCGAACGTTTCTAATAACAATCTCGGTCTAATTTGACGACTATTTTGAATTTCATTTTAGCGCTCAATAATTCCGTCAATTTGGTGTCGTTCTTGCAGCTTCT